ACGACCAGAAAGAGTCTTGTCTCATTCAAGTTTCTACTATCCTAAGAAGCAAAGAATACGTTTAAGGATTGCTGGACCATTCAAAGTTACCATCTATTTTCTTGACCCTGGAGAGGCACATTCCTCCTTTACAGAGTTAGAAATGCCAGTCTACCTCGGAGCCCAGGAACCACCCTGTTCTGTAACTTCTGATGCCTCATGAATTCTGAGCACTGAGCATCTGGGATCCAGAGAGTGAAGGACCACGAACCGACTGCTTAAGAACATGCTGCAACCTTAGCTCCACACAGCACCATTTCAATCAGGAAATTATAGCATTATAATCAAGTTCATAATCAAGCATTATAATCAAGATCAGAAGCACGAAGCATTTGGCACTAGGAGCCGCGTTTGAAGGGCAGAGTTGTCAGCCAGACGGCAGAGATGCCTTCCTGGCCAGCCCTTGTCTTCTATGCTCGTCCCAGCCTGGACCCTCCCTCTCTGTACACGTGCCGCACTTGATGGTCTCCTGGTCAGCTCTGCCCTTGCTCTGCCACTGCTGCTCTCAAACTCTTTTATCTACAGGAACAGGAAAAGAAAGCTACTCGACATGCCTGTAGCAGGGAATGGCCGGATCTTTCAGACAGTTAGATTCAAGCATGCACCGCTGGCAATGTTTCCTAACACACTCAAATGACACAGAATTTGCTTGCCTTCATCCTTCCTATTTTCTTCCTTTCCTTAACATTGAGATGGTCCCTGGAGCCCCAGCACCCATCCTATGATGAGGACAAATGGCACAACCAAAAGACAGAAGGACCCTGGCCAGTGCATCAAATTTTCAGGCGGATCTGGCTGCTCCACTCTGGGAATCCCCAAGCTTTTGCTGCTCGAAACAAATATTTAATCCCTTGTCATCCAGCATCATATTAACTAACCACAACAACTAGCATCACCTGGGAAATGGTTAGAAATGGAGACCCTCAGGATCCACCCTAGACTTAACTGTATTCTAATTTTAATGTGATCCCCAGGTGACCTGCATGCCCACCAAGTCGGTGGGGCCATGGTCTGCATCACTATTAATTATAGCAATTATATGACAGCAACATTGTGAATACACAAAAATGGACCCTTACAAATGGCCAGTTAAAGTGGTAAACTTTGTTATGTACCTTTTGCTACAATTTTGAAACAGTAAAACTTTAACAGCAAAAATCTCCCCTGTGAAGCTAGGGACAAAAAGCTAAACTATCAGCCAGGATAGTGGTAAACAACTATAATCCCAGAACCCTAGGAAGCAACAACAGAAAGATGTCAAGTTGAAGACTCACCTCAACAATTTAGCAAGGCAGCAAGATGCTTTCTGAAATTAAAAAATAACCAAGGAACAGGAGATGTAGCTTAGTGCCAATGCCCTGGATTCAATCTCTCATCACACACACACACACACACACACACACACACACACACACACACACAGAGTTAAACAATTCAATCTGCTGCATTGACCACCGGAACTCTGAGCTGGTATACTACTAACTCTAAATATGTGAAATAAAGTTATATGTGCATATATTCAGGTGGAGCATCCCTAATTCAAAAATCTGAAATGCTTCAAATCTGAAACTTCTGAGTTCTACAATCACACCACAGGTAGAAAACTTGTTTTGTGCTCAAAAACTAAAATTAATGCATGAAATCATATTCAAGCTATGTACATGAGGTATATATAAAATATGAATGAATTTCATGGTTAGATTTGGGTTCCCTTCCCAAGACATCTCATTATATGTATGTAAATATTCCAAAAATCCAAATCCGAACTCAAAGCCCTCTGGTCTGAAGCATATTTATTTGTTTGTTTGCTTGTTTGTTTGTTTTTGCTGTACTGGGGATCAAACTTGGGACCTTGCCCTTTCCAGGCAGGCTCTTGTGCCACTGAGCTACTTCCCTGGATGAAGTACATACTCAACCTATACTTAGGAAAGTGGCCAGGAAAAAATGATTCTAGGAAAGTGTACCTCACAAGAGAAACGAAGAAAGATGACAAACATGTGAACCCCGTAAGGCTTAAAGAGCTATGAGAGCAAGAAAAACGCCCCAGCCATATCTGCCTTACACGAACAAATCCAGAAGGAACATACAGGTACGCGACTTGTGAGAAGGCAGGCAGCCCCACACATGTGAGCCCGTGTGTGGCTACAATGCTGGAGTCTTCAAACTGCAAGCCACTTCTACTGCACGGACAGTGTTCACGACTGCAGAGTGATTACCTACAGCAGAAGGCTGGGAGAGAGGACATTCCACAGCATCTGCTCCGAAGTACTAAACACTGGCATCAGAAATTGCCCTTCCTATCAGTGGCTTGTGAGAGCCTAGACTACTTCTCCAGTACGCACCTAAAATAATGTTACTTTAATCTCACATATCATATTCCTTGCGCCCTTTCAACAGCAGACCCTTCAGAATACTTAAAGAATGATTTAACTTCAAGAGAAGTCAGATATTAACTAGAAGTGATCATTTTAATTACTGAAAGTGGTCAATCAGCCATGTGCTGAGAGACTTCATGTCAATTTAATGCATTAAAATAACTAATAAAATGAATACAGTACTTTATAATATTTCAAGTGTCAAATAAATGGTCTATAATCAGAATAACCATCATCGTATAAAATAACTTAACAGCCACAAAGTGACCATAATGAATCTTTGTCATTTTATCCCTAGGACTGACGAAGGAAACTATACATTATATATATATGACATAAATGGTCACTCTAAAAGGTAAAATGCTCAGCATAAGACATATTTTTAGATGATGAGAAAAATAGAGTATTTGGGCCAATAATTACAGATGAAATTTAAAAGATAGTCCTAAAGTATTTGACAAATATTCAACAGATTGCTTACAAAAACTTTTTGTAAAAATAAGTGAGGGTTGAGAGAAAATGGATAACCTTATTTTCTAACCTATATGCTAATGCTAACTACTTTTCTTTTTACAGCATAGTCAAAGCACTCCAGAAAATAAGCAGACATGACATGCGTTAAAATCCCTTTTCGTTATAAAACTAAAAATTTATATCCCAGTGAGCCAGCAAAGGGAGGAATTACTGTCAAAATGTTAAATATACACTAAGTGTTGATCATCACTCTTATTTGAAGAAGCGGGAAACTGCATGGTCTAGTGAATTAAGCAATGGAGAAAATGTCAAGAGCAACGGAAGGGAACCCCAGGCAGTTCTTCACAGCTTAGCTGGTTTCTCCATCTATAAAAATCAGGACGCTCTCACTGCTGTTTGTGTTAGGCAATTAACAGCTGTAAAGCACACTGAAAGCAGAAGCTGCTAAATAAATAATGACTGCTACAGAATTTCACCGTAATGTGCTAAATAAAAACGATGAAACATGGGATCCTAACTTCGTCATCTTTGTTTTCAAGCTAATAATGCAAACAAGTCTCCAACCCAACCCACATGGCTAGTGTGAGCAAGCAAGTGAAATTCAGTGATGTGAAGCCACAGAAGGAGACCTGTGTCTGCAACAGCAGTGCATCAACCCGACGTACTGCAATGAAAATGACGTCATGTTCTACCCTGTGGCAGGAGAAATAGCAAGACATGTGTCTACCTTTCGGTTGATTTCAAATCGAGGTCGTTCCACTTGAAAATACAATAAACGATAAATTTAATCTCCTTGCATTTCCAACTGATGTTGAAGCTCTAAGCCTCAACCATGTTTTATTTTCTTGGAATTAACAACAAAATAACATCCAACATGACTGTTCTCTACACCTACCAATCAATTAGATTGTAGTCTTCATGAGATTATGGGCCCATCTAACAACTTCCCACACATTTTTAGACTTGCGTATTGAGGAAAAAGGATGCAAAGACATTAGCATCAAAGACACTAGACCTTTCATCTAAACTTTCTATCCTGGGCTGGCTAGATAGCTCAGTGGACTAAAGTGCCTGCTTAGGCAGACGCAGAGAGCGGGGTTCGATCCCCAGCACCACAAGCTGTGCCCGCCTTGCCCCCACGGCTCCCTGAGATGACGACTGAGATTGGCGTGGTGGCGCATGCCTGTAATCTCAGCGCTTGGGAGGCTGAAAACAAGAGGATCACTACGAGTCCAATCTGTGTAGTAAGACCCTGGAGACCCTGTACTAAATATATTAAAAAACTTTCTATCCCAATAGAAGTATGAATACCAATAAATCATAAAATTTAAACTACCCACCTGGGAGAGGTAACAATATTTTACTATTCACATTTTTCTTCACGCACATTTACAAAAACTACTAAATTCAGTGAAATCATTACAAAAATAATTACAATTGAGAAAAAGGTGAGAAAACATTAGAGATTTAATTTATTTCAATTATTTCTCAGTGGAAACACACCACTTCTGAAATGGTCTTCTATCTAAACTCAAAATCTGATCAAGGTTCTTATGCAAAATTCATTGTTCTGTGAATCTTCTATACACTTGTAAATTAACTGTAAAATAGTTCTTTATATGTTCACTAGAGAATAGTTTAATGTTACTAAAGAAACCAGTCTAAATCTTGTTTATTATCTCTTTGGGGAGAAAATCACTCTTCCCTATCAGTATTTTGAGGAAAAATTAAACATCTACATCAGAAACCGAAGTAAAGGGTATTATTCACATTAAAATGCAAATATATGATTTTATTCTCATAATAACCAAGACCTCAAATACCACTTTTAGTGACTCATATTAATTTAATCGTGACATTAGCTTTTACAACCATCACTGTAAAAAGACCACTGTGTTCCAAACATAATTATCTCTCCAGCTTCTCATTTTATGAAATTATTAGTTAAGATGAGTGGCTCTGAATGAATTTATATTTGATTAGTTTCACTTATTTAAGAACACTGAATAATTTAAGAGCTGTTTAAATAAAAGGAAGGGACTCGTGTTGGTGCTAAATTCTCCCACACACTCCCGCCACATCCAGGCGCACCTTACGTTCCCACGAACATACCTTCCAAGTGCAGCCACATCAGCCGCCCCTTCACACTGACCACAGAGGCCACACAGAGTTCTCCTGGGTTCCTGGGGTTCACAGCTTCCAGTTTCATGTTCTTAGTGAACCCCCGACTGAACGATGTCTGGAAAGGAAAGAGAAAGAACACTGAGCTAGTAGCCACCTCAGCAGAACAACAGGCAGCAACAGAGCTACAGGATATAGGATGACAGACGTACACACGCCTGACATTTGAGATACACACAGCCTTGGCTACATGATTGTCCTTCCCACCAGGTGCAAGGCAAGAACCATGAAATCTTTGTTTTTCTGTTCCATGAGTTACTTATGCTTGGCATACAATGGGTGCCTAATAATACTTCGTGAGTGAAGGTCTGAATAGTCTCTTTCCACCTTAGACACAGCCCTGCTGGGTGCATCGTTATCTTCTACTCCTCTCCATTCCCTGCTAAATCCTTCCTAGGTGCACTTGAGGGTGGTGACACAGGAAGACGGCGTGTCCATCTGGCCTCATTTCTTCCCAAGGGCATTTGAAGAATGTGCTTCAGCCCTTCTTACAGCACCTATCTGCTGGTGATAAATTCCTCTAGCTCTCTCTTACCTGAAATTATCTTTATTGTGTTTGCTCTTTTTCTTTATTTTTATTTACTTTCAAAACTAACAATACTTTACATGTAGTAAGATTCATTCATTCATTCTTTGGGGAGTCTTGCTCTGAGAAGGCAGGACTGTCAGACCGGGGCACACAGCCATGCACCCAGAACCACCAGCAAGACTCAGAGGAGTCTCTGCGCCACAAGTGCCTTTGCATTTCGCCCTCACTAGGCAGGTCCTGCTTGGCTCTCAGCTGTGAGCAGCCACCAGTCTGGATTTGCTCGCTGTTGCTTGCATACTTTTGATTTTTATTTTTAAAGAGAATAAAAGGTAGTAAAGAAAAAAAAATGCATTAGAAACAATACAGAATCTTGGGGCCAGTGACGTAGCTCAGTTGTCTAAAGCGCCTACTTAGGCAAGCTTAGGCAGGTGCAGGGGACCACCGTTCAATCCCTAGCCCCACATGCCATTCCAGCTCCACCCTCAGGGCAGACTAAGCTGGCCAAAAAAAACAAAAAAAGAAGCAATATAGAATCTTACTATGTAAAATAATAGGAATTCAACAATGGTTGTTACATGATATATGCTGCCTAGCCTTCAAATTAGTTGTTTTGATTACCAGATATTAGCATGCAAATTTGGTTTTAAAAAAGTTCTAAGAAGGGCTGGCCAAATAGCTCAGTGGATTAAAGCACCTGCTTAGGCAGATGCAGGGGCCAGGAGTTCGATCCCTGGGCCTGCTGTTCCTGCCCTGCCCCTAGGGTACACTGAGACTGCAACTGGGACTGGGCATGTTGGCACACGCCTATAATCCCAGCACTTGGGAGGCTGTAAACAGGACGATCACTACAAGTCCAATCTACACAGTGAGACCCTATAGACCCTGTCCAAAAAAAAAAAAAAAAAAAAAAAAGTTCTAAAAAATTAGAAAGGAGAAAAAATTTACACATTAACTGCTCCTTTTAATAGACTGGCAGAAATCAGCAGATATAGATAGATAGATAGATAGATAGATAGATAGATAGATAGATAGATAGATAGATATAGATATAGAT